TTTATTTTTTGTAAATATTTTTTTTATTTTCAAGTTTAGGACTGATAATAGAAATCGCGTTCATTCATCATAGGATAATAATTTTTTTCTCTCGTAATAAAGCTCGTATTTCCAGTTGCCGCGCATCTGTCTGTTTATATTTTTCGCGGACGCTCAGAGCGATACGTGTTAATTAGCGTCACAAAAGCCCCATATCCAGTTTCGGTCAATTCCATCAAAAGCACTTAATCCGATTGCTACGGGTTAGCGTCGTGTTGGGGGATCGCGTTACTCGTTAAAACCTGCTCTCGTCTTGCTTTTCATCGCGAAACAACAGCGCGGGAAGAATTTCACTTTTCGTCCTATTACCGAGATGATAACATTTGCTTTTCGACATCGATGATCTTTCACGACGTAACGTGCGTCTCTCGTGCTCGAGATCCAATTGCGAGTTCCAGAGGACAAAAAAGTCGACATTCGAAAATAAGAGGATCGACGGTGTTTGTCTAATGTGCCAAATTCAAAACGTCGTCGACTTTAACGAGTTTACGATCTTATACCGAATGGAATATTTTCGACGGAACGATGTTCACATGATTCATTGATTGCCGTGTTCGAATTTGTGAAACGTGGAATAGGTGAGGTCTGTATATATTGTAGTAAAAGGGTAATGGTAGCAAAATTTAACAAGCTTGTTAAAAACAGATTATCATTATAAATAATAAATTATTATCTTTGTCTGACAAAGGTAAAATACGTATTGGCCTTAATCTCTCGAAAAGAATCTCTCGTTTTCAGATCTACATATTTGACATGTGTATAGCTGACACAAAAATAAAATATTTAATACTAAAGATTTTCAATATCTCATTTTTAAATTTTACACTGAGTCCCTAATTAATATATCGTTATTAGAATTTCGAACAAATGATTTTGCCGTAAATAAATCATTTCGTAAAAATAAAATAAAGATTAATTAACTTAACTAGTTATGTTTTATAAAATTTACTTTTGAAAATCATTTACTTCATTTATTATGTATGTATAAGTATTATTGAGCGATGGAATGTTGGATGTCCGAGACTGCCGCTCTTTTGCACTCCCCCTTCTTTTAATTTTTTTAGTCGTCTCGATCCTTTTATCGTTTTTTTCATCAAACTTTGATGTCATGATTTTTTTCAAGCTTTCGTATCCCCGAAATCTTTCTCTCGCTGCTTCTTCCGGTTTAGCGACAGGAGTATCTTCTATAATAGATTGTCAATGATTACAGTCATACTGCTAGTCGTTTCGACCCGACTCTCAATCTATTAGTCAATACTTCGAGCAGTCTTTCTCTCGGAGATACTCATACGAAATTGTTAACTCTCCAATATATGCATTTCTTCATGTCAAAAGTTTCGTAAGTTATTTACAATCGCGCGAGAACTTATATAAATTTCTCAGACATTTGTCTGACATTTTAAATGTGATAAATGATCCTACATAAATCCAATAGTGATATTCAATCATGGTAATCAACGTCATTTTTCAAAATTGTTAAACATGAAATATTACACAATTTCTCTAATCGCTGTCAAAAATTAAAGACTTTAAATAAATGTTAAAAAATTGATAAATTTGTTCAGAAGCCAATACATTTAAAAAGTCAATTTTGAAAAAAAAAAGGCTGAAATGTCGCGCTTGATCGTACGAGAGTCTGTCGTACTACTTCACTAACATAAGTATGGGTTAAGTGCCTTTCGTTGAATCAGCTAAATCGGACCAGAGATAATTCGCCTGGATTAAAAATAAGATCGTCATCTCGATCCTGCGCGAATTGGACCGAACATCTTATCGGGTCTGTTTCTAGGCGAGATTTGAACACCTGCCAACGTCATCCGTATGACCCGCGACGGTTCATCTAATGCTTAGTTAATATATTTACCTACCTGGGAACCTTTGCCCGCAATTCTCGCGATATTGATTCTCGTGGCAATATTAGAGATTCGGCCGTGAAAGAGAGAGAGAGAGAGAGAGAGAGAGAGAGAGAGAGAGAGAAAGAGAGAGATTCGCCTTTCAGCCTCCCTCCAGTACCAAAGATCGTTCTTATGACAAAGCTGAATCAGCGAAAGGCTAAGATGCCGTGAATATATAGTGCCTTAATAAATACGCTTGCCTTATTCAATAGCGCCTGATATTTTTCAGAGTTTTATTTTACATCGTTAATAAGAAATTTTGATAAATTGAAGTCCGTGATTGCGCGATAAAACATTGCAATCAATGTACAAACGTATCGACTCATCGACTTTAAAGTGAAACCGCTGCTGTAACAAATCTGATAATTCGATAAGTTTTCGACCGTTTTCAGTGCTGGAGGGCCAAAGAGGAATAAATCGCAAGAGCAAGAGGGAGGAGAGGATTCGGATTGATCTCGACCTCTCTCACTTCGTTGGATCACGTTTGACGCCTCGAGGGACGTGTTAAATCACGCGCGAGGATACCTTAAGGACTACTTTTGGCCAGAAACGCGCCCCGTTGCGACGAATATCTACCGGAGTGTAAATGTTCGAGACGATGGAGCTTGGCGGTGTATAAATAGGAAGGCGTGTCGCTCGACGCGAGTCCTGAATAACTGAGATTTAATTAATGCTGTTAGTGAGAAACCGTGCTGGGTGTCTCCCAGTCCATTAACCCTTTCGATGCGCGGGGAAAGGATCGTTGCGGATTCTGGCGTAGTCCGCTGAGAATGAGTCCTTAATGTACAAAGAGGCAAGATATGTTTGCGTATGGTATATTAACACACGGCGAATATTCACACTTTCGATAAAAAGGGCAAGCTAACTATTACCAATTTTCATCACTTAATATTTATAATATTTCATATCAAATAATAAATATCTCTAAATACAAGTAAATTATCATTTATTTCTGATTAGAAAAATCATCCAGCGTACAAAATAACGATAGCAAAAGATAACTGTGTGTAAAAAATTCAATTCGCATACGATTACATTATAGTCGCTAAAAAAAAGTTCAAAATTGTTCTGTCGACGAGTTGCAGAAGCATCGTGAGTCAAATCTAATTTGCTAAATAGTTTCTTCCATTGCAAAATGTTCAATTTTCGTTAAATATAATATAAAAGGCTTGCTATGCTTTTAATCAAATGCGAACGTATCGGCTTTATACGTTTTGCAGATTTATTTATTTTGCTCTCCGAGCAAAAGATAAATTTCTACGTATTATTTGTCATGTACTTGGTAGCTGCCACGCACACAGCGCATTATTATATTTGTATCATGATACAACGCTAACGTGCAATTTTCAAATATTAAGACATGCGTGTCGAATAGCACCTCTGATCAGTAGCGCGCGTTGTGTACCTCTCTAGATTATTAATAATGCAGAATAACGCTCTAATAATGCAACGAATCGAAGCGCGATCGATCCACCACGACTCGGAAATAAAAGAAAAATTTTCCAACGTTGTTTGTTCCTCTTTCGCCTATGTACATGTACTGGAAAATTTCCAGCGATCGCAGTTTCATTTGTTTCGTCCCCGTGATAATTTTTTATGCATTCTGACAACTGGTGTGGTGGCTTGCCATTGGTCTGTGGAGACACCGAGCACGGTTTCTTGCACGGGCAACATCTCCGTATGAACAATGATGATACACAACGGTCAAATCATCGGTTCGCGTGGAGTATCGTTGATCAATCGGCTAAGTGACGGAATCCGTTACGAGGCCCATCATCTCCTAAATGTCAATGATATCGTTCGACCCTCTCGGATCTTGCGCGCCGACTGCTATCTAACACGGTCAAGCTTAAAACGGACAGTTCGCGATCCGTGGTGCGTGACGTTAACCGACATTAACCAGTCATCAATCACTCGCCTCCTGACGGATCGTCATCCGTCAGGCGACTATTTCACTCTCGCACTCACCCCCACCCTCCTCTGCATGCGGAGACTGTGCCCGAGCGGGTCACAGGAGAAACGCGATGAGATCAATTAACTCTCAGTTACTCGGATCGAATCGTGACGCGTAACGCGAGACGCGTCCTCTCGCAGACGAGCGAGATGCTCCTAAATCGAGAGCGGCTGCTCGTCGCAACGGTGCACGAAGCCGTGTTGCTGTTGCTGTTGCTGCTGCTGCTGCTGCTGTTGCAGCGGTTGCTGTCGCTGTGTTTGCTGCTGTCATCCACTGCTCTGCTCTGGTAGTAATATGCTGACGGATTTGCGGTTCGCCGTGGAGACGACGTGACCGCCGTTCGTCGTAGTCGCCAGGGCGGACGTTGGTGGTGGCCGATGGGAGGGCGCGACCACGCGCACCTCTGGCCTGGGTGAAGCCTCCCTCAAGGGGCTACCGACGCCCACCAGTTCCTCAGGGTTCGCCGTCAGCACTGCCGACGGTCTGCAACGACCGCGAAAAGGCCGTTCGCCTCATGAATTCGCAGAAGTTCGCCTTAGCCGCAGTAACGTCAATCCATAAAATTTCGAATATTTCGTACATTTAAAAAAAAAATTACAGAAGACTCAATCTTTTTTATTCGCTTTTCGATTGTAAGATATATACAAATATTTAGTAATTTAATTATTATTGAGTTTTTTTTTTTTATTAAAATAACAAAGTCGAATCTTTAAAGCGATCTTACGGACTGAAGGTTAAAGAGCAACGGCAGAAAATGCATGCATTCTATGGACTAAATTGTTTACCTTTAATATTAATAAATAAATAACGTGTAATCTTATCGAAATTTGTCAGTTCAGCATTTATTTATCATAGGGACTATCATGTGACACAAATAAATAATTTTCACGTTACTGATTTTAATTAACGTTGACATTAGATATCACTTTTGTTTATTATGGAAGGCTCAATTTATTTATTTCGCGTAGTGTGTCTCTTGTCGATATTTGTTTGATCGTATCGGGATCAAGTAAGATAAACAGAATTTACCTGTGCTGCGGGGGCGGCGTGGGCGTTCGCGACAGGGGAAAGCTAGCTACTTCTCTCGTCACTGAAAGCGACCGGATCGATCCGAATGTTTGGTCCGGTGATAGATTGGCCCCGACGCTTTGCACCATGCTGCTACTGGAACACGAACATCGGTTAATTGCAATTAAAGCATCCGCAGATTGTGCGATGTCCTCCTGATCTTAACCCTTAAGTTCTCCAAGTGTGAGTTAAACCGCCGACTTTGTTCTTATATTCTACATAGAATACAAGTGAATCCATTTATCAGAGAGGGTACGGACAACAGTAGACTAACAAGGGAAGTTCGGCGACCCGTGAACTCAAACGGATTTGAAACTTCGGGCAGATATAGATTTTAGGGGATGAAGGGGGAGTCATCGAAGAGCCAAAACCAATATTCTTAAGGTTCCTCTCATATTTTCGTGAAATCATTAAAAATCATTATGCTGAAAACGTAAAATATAATAAAAAAAAAAAAATCACAGTTTTTTAAGAGGAATATAAAACTGTAAACTTTAGAAGAAAAAAAGTCAATTTGAGAGTCTTTAGTCTTGTTTTAATTTGAAAGAGAAGATTCCTATATGGGAATAAGTTTTGAGAAACTTCGGAAAAACTGGCGTGGTCAAATAAAGGCCGGATAAAGGATAAGTGGAGCGAGTAAGAAAGAACCTCGACATACGATAATACACGATAATACACGATTTCAGTACGCTGCAATTTGCTCGAGTACGTCAGTCTTCGATTAACTATGCTTAATGATCGCGAGATGACGCATCGTATCTATTCTTTTTCTAACGGTTCTTAAGAACTTTACACTCCATTGCCCCGGGCAAGGTTCTACCGGGTCGTTACAGAGACGTGATTAATGTTACACGCAAGATGTTAATCGCTCTCGCATTCGTACACGCCGAAACGCGTTAAGTCCAACTTCGATCACGTTTCTCTAACGATGGAAAAGGGGAAAACGTTATTAATACCTGCCATTTTACGAGGCGAACTGACTCTTCTTTATATCGAAAGGCTATTAGTTTCCTCTGTCATCGATATAAAAAAATACTGCGATATTTTTTGTCGACACAAAGAGATATGGAATACGGCGGATTCTGCGCTCCTCGCACACGGCGAAATGTGAGAAAAAAATTGGCAGACCGACATATGAAAACTCGCACACGGCTTACGTAATACCAGATATGGTAACATATATGGCTCATCCCTTCGCTTTCGCCATCCCCGTCCCTTCCCCGTCGCGTCGTTAACATTTGTCAAGTGACGAAAAGCCCCCTGAACTTGAGAGCGGAGCAAAGAGCTAATCGATAAGTTCGATAGATAGACTAGGGCTATAGGCACACCTAGGCACTCAATTTCGCCTCTACACGCGAAGTATCTGTGCCCTTCGCCGACGCGAAAAGAACGTCTCGCTCTTGTCCCACGCTCTACTAAAAGCCGCGACTATTTTAAGGATTAAAATGCGACCGCGCGAGCGAAACGACATAGGCGGTCCCTTCATAGAATTGCTCTAAACGCGATTGAAATGCGAGATATGTGGAGCGGTACGTTATTCCCTTCTATAAATATCGCAGAAATAAACGGATATTCTACAAAAAAGCCGTTCCGTTTAGAAAGAAATGTGTGTATCGTAATGCCGATTAAATCGAATAAAGATCGATCAATTTGCTCTTTGTGCTCTTTCCGCTTCGCGAAAGTGTTAACCTTCATTCAATATGTTGAAAATATTTTCGGAACAAAGACTTTCAAGACTAAAATCCCTAAAATTATTTATTTGTAAAACTAAGATGAAAATATTACTTTTTACCGTGTGTATACCTTAAGACTCAGCTCGAAAAGCTATTTCTATCTTGTTACGTCCCATTACTTATAATCTACCTATGTTTGGTTATTTTACTTTGATTAATAGGGTATAGATATTAAATCGGTAAAAGGAAATTATGTTTACGGGTAAACGTAAACATTTATCAGCGTAGGGTGCCGATTGAAGAAACGAAGTCTGCTTATCCTTGATAAATTTCAACGCGTGTCTCGCGTTTCGTGCCGCGGGAATTCGCAAAACGATTATCGGGCGACAGGACGGGAAATGGTTGATCAAAGTGGATGGTTATCGATATTGCAGCAGCAGGGCCCCTAGGTGCTTTGAGAGATGTCATGAATTATTCATTCAGACCCGACCGGGCATGTCAGGTTGTCGGAGTTATATCCGACAAACTCGCTATTCCGCTCACATTCGCTGAATTCGCAAACTTTTCGGAAAGATCGGTTTTTCTCTCGAAAGGTATAGATGATCGGATGATCTCGTTTCCTGGAAAAACCTCCGTCAAGCGAAAAAGAATAGTTTCGTAAATGAAAAAGTTCGGATCAATCTAGTCATTTTATATATGTCAAGATATAGATATAGATATATTCGAGATACGTTTTGAGAAACTGAAAAAAACTTTTAGAAGAAATATGCAAAATTTAACGTAAATTAAAGTGTTTCCTAAAGCTGAGTAAAAGAAGACTTCATTCCTTAAACTACGCGGATAATGACGTCTCATATATCGCAGAAAAGAAGGGCTCTCTTGTGGGCTCTCTCTCGTTCTTACTCCATTTATCTACAGTAATATGTTTGTTGCAATTTATGGGCTCCAATGCACTATAAAACATTATAGTGTATTCATCTTACTGCTTTACATTACTTTTATGGCTTAACCTTGGGCAACGTATTTTATTCGTAAAAGAAAAAAAAAATAGAAGAAAAGTCTCGTACATGTTATCATGATAATTTCATACTTTCTATGTAATTAGAATACTCAAAAGCTATCGCTTTGAACTTTATCTCTGTACTGTTGTTTGTTACTTATAGAAAAAAAATTTGCAAGTATGAAAATATAATATCAGTTTTATGAAGTTTTCAAAACACAATGATTTAAAAAAAATTCTACTAAATTACGTTTACGATATAATGAAATATATTTAACAAAAATCATTATAGTTAAACTGTAATCGTTATAGCGAATGCGGAAGATCGCAATTAAAAGTTAACAACTCATTAATATCTAAGAGTAAGTTATAGAGAACAAATAAAAAGACTTTTAACGAACCGAGTAAGTATTTCATTGCAAAAAGTATTACGAATTATTGGATAAAATAAACGCGACTATATAACGTTGTGCGCAAAAGCGTATCTCCATTTTTCCATTTTTCATATCATTAATTGTTATCACATCGTGACAAGCAATAAAAATTATTGCGCAAATAAAAAAGGAAGCCTTAATCATCGTACCTCATTAATTATTGTGCGACATTGCTCTAATACCAAATGCGATACTATTATCATTCTACTCTAAAATTGTTATTCCAGAAAAAATTGTTAAATAAAATAAAATTGTTAAATTCAATATCATAAAAAAAAAGTTCGTTATTAACTTAATCGCTTAAGAAGATTAAATAAAAAAATATATATATAAAATTCTTCAAATGCTTCGATGTAATATAACTGTGGATTTTTATTAAAATATTTATTGACGGATTATTGAATATATGAAAAGCAAAAAATTTTATTGAAATAATTTTTTTTTCTCGGAGTTATGAGTATCGTGAGAAAAATCATTTGTCTCACGAGTTACGTATTTCTACGTGATGAAAATGACGACTGACGTAGGTGGCAGGAAATTACGTATATCAACGACGAATTAAAACATGTACATTGACTATCGTCGGCTGTGAACTTTACGCGACTTACACCAAGCTATGTTTGTCTCACAGTTGGACATAATGCCTGATAAAATATGTATTAAACCTATTTTAAGTGGAGACCTATTTTAAGTGGCCTTTACGCGAATAATAGTCGACATCATTTTTATGTCAAAAAAAGAACTTTGCAATGTTCGCGAATTAACATAATTGTAGAGGATCTTCAGCGCTGCTAATTGCTTCTCGCATTCGACATTTCTTCCATGAGAAACTCGAATCAGATTTCACTTAATTCGAGACAAAATAACGCACGGAATAGCTAATTCGAGAGGCGCAAGGAAGGAAATAAGTTTCAAATTATTTTACGAAGAAAAACATAGAGGAAAAATATACGACAGAATAGGCAAATGTATTTTTTCAGAATTTGACATTAAACTTTAGGGAAGTGTCCTATTTTTACACACTCGCTACGATGACGTTTATGGTGATTTATATTCTTCTGTAAAACGCAGTTTGAAATCCCTTGGTTTCGCCAAGTTTGACGTTAATAAATCGATTCTCGGTACGTCATCAAGGATAACATATATGACGTACATTAGAGGGTGAACCGCACTCACCTGACGGAGCCCGAAGTCACCAGAAAGGGCATAGGCGTCGGGCACGGGCTCAAAGGTGAGCTGCTCACCGAACTGCGGGTGCTGCTCAAAACAGAATGCGGACACTGCGGTGGACCTACGTGCGGCCCTCCCGCACCGCTTCCTCTTTTGCTAGACGTACGGCCTTTTAGATACGGGATCTTCGGCCATCCGCTTACGTCTTTGCCAGATACCCCTGAAACAACACACATCTCACTGATTATTTTAGGAAAGCGAAAACGAGCGCCGAAAACCGATGCACTGACGAAACACGTACATCAGCAGCAAAGCGCTTAATTAGTCTTGAAAATTTATTTTAGCCTATCTGACATATTTTATCCTATATAATATATATATATATATATGTTTTATTATTTTATTACTTTATCCATGATTACCGGTATTACATTCTCTCGTGATATATTTTAGATATATTTTTGAAAAGTTTAATGTAAACGTCAACAAAAATACAGCTGTCGAGCTGTTCTTGATAACTCGAAACTGAACATTTTTGACAAGTTAAATTTAAAAATTATAAAATGATATCTTATACTTTTATTTTTATATAATCTGCAAAAATAATAGTTAATTAAACGACGAAATTATTGATTACAAAAAATTCATCTATAAAGATAGAATCTCATTCGATGCCTTCGTATATATAAATATAATAAACAATTAATAATAGATTAAACTTTATAACAAAACGCATTCTCCAAGTCTAAAAGCGTACCATAAAAAAGTTATTATTTTTAACTAGCTCAACAAGTTATAATAAACAGAAACTTTTCTCTTTTTTTTTTTAACAGCTTTATTTAGCGACTTTAAAAATATAAACTTTTCCTGGTAATTTTAAGTGACATGTACATAAGTGATACCTTAAAATAGTAACAAAAATATCATACATTTATTAAATGACAAACTTTTACTAATAATTAGCAAACAACGTTTAGTAAACAACGTTAAAAATAAATTAGACGAAAAATGGTTAATTAAATTTTTATTTACAAGTAAATATTGTTAACTTAGAAATTCTCGTTTTGATAAATCATTGGAGAAAAAAATTCGACTAGCAAATCGAGGAACTAGTAATCAAGTTCTGTTGCGTTTTAAGGGAGAAATGTAAAAAACGGGGCCTTTAGCCCTTTGTGCGACTTTTCTTGATGACTTTTCTATCTCGAGGAGACTATTATGAGATAATCACGCCGGTATGCGTGCTGCACGCCTATCACGCATACTATACCGGAGTGTCGTCGCGCTCCTTCCATATCGGCAGCGTTATTGCAGCGCTGGGATAATACGGCGTTTAGTATGCAAAGGGAAGCTTTCGCGACCTCTTTCGAATCCATCGCGATTTGAATATACACGGCACACTGTTGGTGATTTGACGAGACGATACGCGTAGAACGCGTCCCTCTCGGTCGTTTAGATTTCCGTTAGGAGATAGGAAGCGAACGCGTGTTAGCAGACGGAACGATCGCGATCTTCGCCATAGAGAACAAACTAGATTCACTTCTTCGTTCTTCTTGACACTAGTTGCTCTAAATAATGCAGGTTATCATTCGGGATAAAATATCGCGATTACGTTGCGCGCTGCTGCGGAACAGCGATTATTTAAAATGTCGTTACGAGCGAAACATCAGACTCTTTTTTTCTCCTGTGATTACTTGAAAGTCTAAACGGGAAGATTTTTAAATGTCGATTAAACGTCATATATGTATGTATAAAACGTCACAGAACGTTGGAAAAAATATGAAAAATTCGCATTTTTTTAAATATAGATTTAATCCCCGACATTCGTCGGTGTCATTAAAGAAGAAATCAATGCGATGGCAACGAGGAAAATATTTTCTTGAAATTGTGAGCTCGTTGTGTTTCAACCGCACTGTGCAATTTTACCAATATTTACATTACATTCAAAATTTAGGAATGCTCATTGGGCATGCTCGGAATTACGATCGCTCGCCAATTAAATTCTAGGCTGCCTTCCAACGTCAACGTTGGATAATTCAGAGAGGAAGGAAGCCGCTCAAGCCCTGGTGCAATGCGATGGACAAGTACAAGCATGAAATTTGTAACGCGGTCGGACTCTCGACTCGAGAGCGTCTGCATAGAGCGCGGAATACTCGATTTTGTAATTCGGTCTTCCGAAACAATGGAGATCACAGCGTGCGTCGACAAAGCCTGTAGCCCACATTTTCGTTCCCAGCTGTATGCGTCATGCGTGGATGTATGAGCGCGAGAGAAAAAAAAAAAAAACTACGATTACTGCCAAATGTGTATGATTCTGCAGGTGTAACGTTGTAATATTCCCGACGCGAAAGAAACAATCGATAAATATGATATACGTGCAATTATATTCTTCGTAATGATAACATAAGATGCGAAGTCATTTCGTCGCGATCGAAATATTTCATATACCGATGATATTTCATATACCGAACAAATATCGATGATGAATACGATATTTATGTAAATTTTGTTTTCGAACAAATTCACTTATTACATGCTGATAAAATAATTTATTATAAGATATTTTTCAAGAAATATTATTTAAAATGTCTGAAGAAAATTCTACTCTTTTGTAAGCATATTTTTATTTTGCCAGAAAATATGATATATCATCTATAAAAGTCTTTCTTCTCATAATGAGTTAAGTTGGGAAACTATATAATGTCAAAACTTAACAAATTACCGTGAAGTAAATGGAATTTTAATTTCCTAGAATTCCGTAAATCCAAACAATATTGTAAGGTGAAAGGTTAGTTACGAAGATTAGTGTGCTAAATTAATTTTTCCTGAAGAAATTAAATATAAAGACCTTCAGTAATAAAATATTGTACTACAGAACGATTTAATGAGTTTTGAACAAACTTTGAACATACGAAAACGCTATAAATTATAAATTTCAATAATATAATTAATAATTAATTTTAAATGATTTCATGATTATTGTTAAATATTCAATATTATCGTATTTATTACAATTCAATAACGCTTGTTAATTGGCATTATCAAATTATTATGCAATTTCACGTACTTAATGATTTCAATTACTTCTCTTCGATCGTTCGTTACTTTTATGGCCTGAAACTGTATAAAAACTCTCAAAGTAAATTCGATTTATAGACGAGCGTGAGGGTGTACGTTTGTATATGTCGTGCACTCGTCGTACAAGAATCATAATCTCCAAGTCAATAGCCAAGTCACTCTGCTTCCGTCAGAATTTCCCGAGCTTCGTAAAGCCGGACAATGGCAGAAAAGAATAATGCGAACGGTGAAGTAGCGCATATTGCGCCGCCACCGTCGGTACAAATCGCGCAGACAATAAAAGGAGAAGAAAAAGTCACAATCTGAGGCCGAAAGTATCGGAAAACCATTCGATATTCGTGACGAGGTCTTCGAGCGAGGAGACAAGAAGGGGATGAAAGAGGAGAAGAAAATGACGCAGTCTGGAAGCGACAATTTCGCCGGGATTTGTTCCTAACTAACGTCCAGGATCTCAATAAACTCGCGGCGAACCGCCAATCGATTACCAGCATCCACCGTGGATATGTCCAGCTAGGCCGTCTTTTCCTTTCCTTTAATTGAAAGTAATCGAAGTAAAAGAAACGACGGTTATCTCAATCTTAGGGCGTTATTCGATAGATTCGAAAATGAAAAAGTTTGGACGAATGAGATCTTAACTAACTTGCCGAGAGCTGTTTTATAAAATATCAGAAAAAAAAATGAAAAGGAAGATGGAGAAATTTCTATTCGTGCGATTCTTCCGCATTTACCGTATATATTTTTCATACATTTTATATGTTCCTTATACAAAGTAATTAAATTTTTTTAATAAAATTAGGGCTGATCTTTTTCTTTTTCCAATGATAATTTGACTGGATATTTATTTTCTCGGCAATTCTTGACTCGTTAACGATGTGTACTCGCTAATCGATGTGTATATAACAAAGTAGAAATCGTTGAAGATAAATTGTAATTGCGTATATTTGTGGACATACAGTACCGAAATAACACCACCTTAATCACACTCTGCTTAACCGGCTTACATGGTTGATTGGAAAAGGTCGAAAAAAGCCGAAGATATGGTATTCCACGATTCGACCAACGGCGATCAGCGTTTTAATTGGCTGACCGGGCATCGCCGAAAAGCGAGGGCGACCCACTTTTGGCAAAGGCCAAGACTAAATCTGCCGGCTCGTTGTTAGGCTATGCCATATTAATCATCCCCCTCCCCCCCCTCGTTATCTCTGACCGCGCTGGGGGTTGGCGTGTCCCAGCAGTGCACGCTAAATCTGACCTTTCAGCGAAATAAAATATCCCATCAGATCCGACGATTGCATAGTAGAGTGACGTGGCGAAACGCATCCTCGTGAAAGATCAATCGGCGCTTAAACGACGATCTGATAAATCGAGCGAGCCATTTGCGAAATATGCTTGATCCGTCCGATGAAAATTAATGCAATCCCCCGGCCTGGCGGGACATCGCTGGCCGTCAATTTCATTCCCCGTGAGGAACATCATGTGTGAGAAACGGAGTCAAAAGGTCAGGATCCTGATGGAATAATTGAGAAACGTAATACAGAGAAAGTTGAAAGTGGTAATTTCGCAAAGGCTATTCCTAGTTCAAATTTATTATATTTACGTGATATAAAATATTAAACGTTTCTCCTCTACGGATAAGTAGAATATTATATTCTCTGAGAAATAACTTTACTCTAAATGTTACAATTACTCGAAAATGATTATTTTAATCTCATCCGTGCTTAAAGAGTTGATAAATTTTTTCGGCTTCTGTGCGGATTATTCAGCCTTTATTTACGAAATAAAATATGCTAATGCATTAATGCCTTGTAATCTAGTACAATAATCTTATCGCGCAGGTAGCATCGCGTAATCTGATACAGGTATTACATTACTATGCTAAAGTAATGTAATAACAGGAGATACATGTAATACGTGTATTGTGCGCGGCAATTTAATTACAACGCTACAATTAATATTCTAATTAACAAAATGTCAGAGCGACTTAATTAATCAAATGCGATTATTGCAGAGGGCATTACAAACATAAAGGAAAATCGCGATAATAAATAATGAACGTAAAGTTACGTTTTCATATCTTCTAATTAGCACAGGCATATTCAGTTTAGCGAAACTTCGTTATAAAGTTATATGGAATTTTTTATGGAA